ATCCCATATGTCTCCCAGGTCCATAAAAAGGTTTGCTTCTTTATTGTTGCCTTTGAGAATGTCTATGCTTTCATTTACATTTTTTTATCAAGAGTGTTCTACAATATTTCAACGTTTGTTCTGCCCAGCTGTCTCCTAACTTCTAGGGTGTCCTGGTGGGCCTCCTTGTTTTCTTCAAGCAACATAAGCTCGGTGTTCCCACCATTTCCTTACTCATGGAGCTTTTCAATGTTAAGCTTACTTCCTCCAAGGGTTTTTTGTATATCTCTAAACGAACAAAAGCCAAACAAATTATTTCTGACCTCCCGAGCTCCCACAAGGGTTGGAGAAAAATTTTCTTCTTCGTGTGGGGAGAACACTGGGAGTAAAATCCAGAAGATAAGACAGACACTCTCCCCATCCCTAGATCCTGGTCTGCCCTTGATAAGTTGGGTAAGTCCTTGCTCAAACTAACCAAGCTCGAATTTGGAGACCCTTCCTGACTTTGTCTTGCCTTATGTTGTTTCTCATATGTTTGACCTAAGCTCAGTGCTGAGGATGAACGAGTGCTGCTAAGATTGGAGAAGTGTGACCCAGAAAAATATTTTGAGCTTATCAACTCTTGGGTTCTAGTAAGGGAAGGGTTCAGCCTTCCGGAGGTAATAGTAGAAGCCCTAATCCCACTCTCCATTGTCAGAGCTGAGGAGGTAGCAGGTGACATTTCTTTTCATCTTTGCCTTTGCTCTTTTACCTTTGCCTCCTCCCTCTTCCTCTTTTCTTATGTTGGTTCTTCCTTGAGTTTCCAGGTTCTTCCTCAATGGAGCCCACCGCAAAGGATCGTACCGCCAAACTATCTTTGATGAGGAAGAATCGGATTGGAAACAAACGCAAGGTTGAGGTCGAGTCAAGGAGTGACTCAGCCTCCAAAGTTCCAAGACTGGAGGTGTCCCCTATTTCACCTCAATCGACCTAGGTGGGCCCCTCTACCTTCCTAGGATTCCCCAAAGGTTGCGAGGACCTCTCTCTCCAAAAAGACTAGATTGCCTCCTTCTGGTGGGGCTCCTGAGCAAGGTTTGATCCCAACCTCTCCATCTTCAGCAGAGGTTGAGAGAGCTCTAGAGATGGTTTCTCACATTCTACCAGGATCCATTCCCCCTTGTCCCACTGAGGGACCATCTCTGAAATCTTCAAAGATCTGCAAGAGTGAAAAAGGGCTGAGTGTTGAGGCAAGTTCGAGCTCTCTGATTGATAACGTACAGTGAGCTGCAGAGGCCATTGCTTCCATTCTCCCAGAGTCTGACATTCAGCGGGCCTCCACTATGACTCTTGGGAGTTCCATATCCACTGCCCTCTTTGTTGCTACTTCCGTAAGCTTTGCTATATATGTATATATTTTTATCCAGCAATATTTGATCGTTTTGATTTAAACTTCTTATGGGTTGTGCTCACTCTCAGATGGTCATTCATGTTAGCGGGTTGCTGAAAAGGATCCAGGCTATGGAAGGTTTTGTCCAGGCTTCTAGAGCTTTTGAGCTCAAGGTTGTAGAGTTATCTTTTGAAAATAGCGACCTCAAGGCCCAGGTCTAGGATTTGCATGAGCAAGTGGAGAGGCAAACCTCCCTAAACAGGGAGTTAGAAGCCGAGAAGAAGAGGATTGAGAGTGAGGGCAGGAGCTGTAAGGAAGAGCTCAAAAAAACTAAGGAGGAGCTCAAGAAGACCTCAGGCAGAAGACGGATGAATGGATTAAAGTCAGTCAGGAGTCCCTTGAGGCTTTGAGCTCTTTCCGGAATATGACCACCTTGCTGAGATGAATGACGCTCTTCGGGACGAGCTCGAGGTGGAGAGAGCAGCTGGAAAGGAGAAAGACAACCTGATTGAGGAGGGAGTTACCGAGGTGCGTACCTCGGCTGTAATTCTGGTTGTGGCGAACCTAAACGATCTTTGACGTCTCCCCTCCTTTTGGGGGAGTGATCTTTGTCTCTTCTTAGAGACCTATCACGTCCTCTTTCTCTCCTGGGACTTCGGTCCCTGTTTTTCTCTTTTTTTCCTTTGTCTTTTTGCGAGGATGAGCTCCCCACTTTTGAGAGAAGAGCTTCCTCGCCGTTTATGTATTTTTCTGCCTTAGCCAGTATCTCAGCCATACTTGCCTGAGGGTTCTTTGAAATAGAGAACATCAGGTCTTTGGATTACACTCCTAAACCAGCTATAAATGCGGTAATGACAAACTTCTCATCTACAACATCCACTTTTAGGGTTTCCGAGTTGAACCGCTGGACATAAGACCTGAGGTTCTCTTGGGGTCTTTGTTTTACGTTCAATAAGTAGTAGCTCGGTTTTCTGTATATCCGAGCTCCTATAAAGTGAGATACGAAAGATATAGAAAGCTCTTTAAAAGAGGAGAGCAAGGCTAGGGGAGCCTATTGAACCATGTCAGGGCTGAGCCTTTTAATATGATGGCAAAGGCTCTGCAGCGTACTGAGTCCTAGTATCCATGGAGCTCCATCTGATTTTGTTAAGTATTGAGGTGGTCCACGGGGTCCTTCGTTCCATCGAAAGCTTCTATCTACGACATTATGAATTTGGGGGAGGGGAAAATGCAATATGCCAGTGGTGAATGGGGATTCAGTCTGTTGCATCAGGGCATCCATTGTAATTGAAGTCTTGCTCTTCACAGCTTCCTTCATATGACTGAGCTCTTGCTGGATGTCCTAGAAGTGCTGCTCCCAGTACTATTCTCTTCTCTCCCGCTGGTAAGAGAAGAAATCGTTCCTCTCGTCCTCATCGTTCTGACTCTACACTTCTTCATTGTGTTCATTCCTAGGGGGCAGATGGGGAATCTGCCCCAAGGTCTAGTTATTTTCCTCTCCTTCATTAACTTCTCTGAAGGGATTGAGTCATTGTTGCTCTTTGTGAGGGGGCTTATTCTGGCCTTCTTGGGCTGGTCGTGCCTCTTGAGGGTGTTGCAAGAGCTTCAAAAGCTCTTCATTCTGCTGCAGTAGACGTTCATTAACTAGGAGAAGGGCCTCCAACTCGTTATTTGTGTAGGGATTCCCCATGGGGGGATTTGTCTTTAGGACATTCTCGGGCTGTCTGTCGTTGTTGGCTTCCTGTTGTTCTTGCATTCGTGGTAGATTTGTATAGCTTCTGCTCATGTTACGAGTTGAGACCATCAGTTACTGAAAGATCATCGTATTTGTAACAGGAACAGTCGTTTCCCACAGACGGCGCCAAACTGATGGTGTAAATCAACGTGAGACAACTTTGTGATATTGAGCAGGTGTGATGAATAGTGTGTGACTATTAGGATCCGAGCTATAAGACTCAAAAGAACAATGATGGGTATTGAGGGGAAAATTTGAGGGATTGACACAGTGAAAATATAGTGGTTCACCAGCTCGGGAACTCGGCTAATCCACTATTCAATGAAGGCTCTTACTCTTTTTTTCTCTATTGATCACCCGAAAGATTTACAAGACTGATTGTACGTTACTAGGGGTCCCCTTCTATTGGCGGCGTTACATAGTATTTATAGGGTTGTCCCTAGTTCTGCGGGATCTACACCGAGATCCTTGTCATTCATCTGAGGAACTCTCCTTGATCTTAGGAGAAGATCTTGGCTGGTTAAGGATTTTGTGCCTTGAATATGGCTTTTTGCCACCTGTAATGTTTCTATTGTCATCCAGCTGTTCCTTTATCATTTCCGCTGTTAACACGTCCCGGGGGGGGGGAGCTTTAGCTCTGAATTTATGAGCTTTGCGTGTTTTCCCTGACTTCTTGGTCTGGCTTGCTTGTCTGACCTCTGGTCCTGAGCTCATACTTGAGAATTATTCTGAGTATCATCACTTTTAATGGCATGTGAAATAACAATTGATTGAGAGAGGTTCATGACTGGTGTACCGTGATCGATCATGAGATTCTCTTGAACAGTTGTAACTCTCTTTTAGGAGTTGTAATTTGATCTTTGAAAATTATAACTGATGGTGTAAATTAACTTGGATGAGCAAAGGGTATGAATTATGCTTGGCAATTTGGATCTGAGCCACACAGCTCGCGATGATCGTGAGCAGTTTTACTGAGGGATTGGGGCAATTTACACAATGAAGATATACTGGTTCACTAGCTCGGGAGAGCTTGGCTAATTCACTCTTTAATGGAAACTCTTGCTCCTTTCGTTTTTTATAATGGGGAATAAAGTTTACAGTATGTCTTTTACGCAACTAGGGTTTTTTGCCCCATCTTAGAGGCATTGTACAGTATTTATAGTGCAATTTCAATTCCTAAGGATTCTTAGGCATGATCTTTGCAAAATCTTCCTTGATTTTTGGGAAGAGGATCTCAGTTGGTTGAGAATTTTACGCCTGGACTCCAGCCCCACTGTCATCCAGCTGTTTCCTTATCCTCTCTGCTATTGACTTATCTAGGGGGAGCTCCAGCTCGAGTCCCTTGAGCCCTGCGTATCTGGTCATATCTCCTGACCTGATTTCGGCTCCTGGGCTCCTACTTAGCTGAAATTCCTTCTGGGCATCAATAACTTAACTTTTAAAATTTATAACTTAACCTTTGAAAATTGTAATTTTTACGATCGATCACAATTTTTTTAGGATTGATCGTACCTTCTGCAAATTTTAATTTACAATGCAAACACTTTTAACTTGTCTTTAAAAAATTATCAATTTCGGTATAGCACCAACGTCAATATTGTAGTAATTCCCTAAAATTTAATAAGACAATTGTCAATATAGATTCAAGATTAGTTTTTTTTTTTTTTTGTATTTTTTTTGTGCAGAGTGTTCAAGTTTACGCCGATTACCCTTTTAAACTTAGGTATTAGTCATCTGAGTCCAAGTAGATTTAAAACATGTCAAGACTAACTTGTAAAATAGATCAAAAATATTAAATTAAACAAGATTAACTTTTCTTCCAACTCAATCATTTCACGTTGGTTTCAATCACATGCCAGACAAGAATGAAACTTGAAGAATATTAAATATACAATAACTGTTGAATAAACTCAATAAACTTTACATTAGCACATGGATCCCAACAGGCAGTGAGCATTGGCAAAGGTGCAACAAACCTCGGAAGCTCAGCTGCCGTAGATTATTCTTAACAAATAACCTAAAATTCTCAAATCAAAACCAAATTTTACGAAAAATAAGAAAGATACATTTTTCTTCTTTTGCTTTAAGTTGAATAGATGAAAAATTGGTGTATGTTAACTTATTTAATTAATTATGTCGTGTCGAATTACAAGTTGACTTGTTTATTTTTGTATCGAATTTGAGTCGTGTCATCGTGTTGAGTCAAAAATTTTCACCTTAATTAATATGAAAAAAAAAAAATTAATTGAAAAAATTAATTTTTTATTTATTTTTTAAAATATATATACATATTTTACCATTATATTTTTGTATGAAATTAATGTATACATAAGATATATAGACAAATAAAATACATCTCAATACAAATAATTAATTTTTCATCTAATTTTCTTCTGATTTTAAAGGAATTGATTTTGACGAGTCAAAAGGAACGGTGATTCATTCATCTTTTCATCTTTTTTATTTTTTTTATCAAATCAGATGGTTACAGCCTCCATGAACTCTGAATCATCCCTCAAAGCGCTCAATGTTTCCGGCATAAGACAAACCTCAATGTCTATACTCCCTTCTTCCACCCCCGGAAAAATTGTTATCTTCCCGTCGGACTTGTTCGCTCCACCGCTTCGTACGGCCAACGGTTTGCCCCAACCGAAGTCATTCCCGTACACATTGTGCCGCGGCGAGCTACTCGTTGTCAATGAAGTATTCAGCAGAGTACCCATCTTCACCAGCCTAGGGTTCTTCACCCAATTCTCGTAAAAATTCCTTACTTTTTCATGGGTTTGCAGAGCAATCATCTTGTTCGTTTGCAGAGCCGTCCTGCCCAGTCCTTGTTCCATCAGCTCGCCGGCGGTAGTGGCTACGGCCTCATACTGAACGGCGTTACCAAAATATTTCTCCGGTAGAGGCGGAAGCAACCGTTGTCTAGCTCCTATTGGAAATCCAAATATAGCTTCTCGGTCTCCGGTGACCTTGCGACAGCGTATGACAGATCGCCAAACGTGAGCCAAAAGGGCTTGAAGAGAGGAGATTCGATCGGTACTCATTTCGGCGTTGGCTTGTGCTTTGAGTTTGCCAATAATCTGTTTGCTAAAATGAAAAACCCTTTCTTGGGTTGGTGTTGGAACGAATGTGTCAACCAGTTTTTCGTCACAAAAAGAAGTAGGAATGGGAAAATTNGTTGGTGTTCGAACGAATGTGTCAACCAGTTTTTCGTCACAAAAAGGAGTAGGAATGGGAAAATCGATACCATCTGGAAACCAACGTTCAAGAACAGGAGGTTTGGACAGATGACGATTCAGACCACGAGATATCTCAGACCATGAATTAAAAAACAGCCAGAAAGATGTCCCGTCTGCTACGGAGTGGTTCATGGTGCACCCAATGAAGAAGCCATCAATGAGCTCTGTTACCTGGACTGCCACCAAAGGATTCGTAACGCCTTCATGGTTGAGAACTCCATTCATGGGGAAGAAGGAATGAACTATACCGGGCACGTACAATGGCTTGAGAATATCGGAGACAGTAAGGTCGTTCGCAGCGGCGTGAGTGAACTGAACTCCCGCGTCGTTGCAGTCGATGAAGAAGGAAGTAGTGTTGTCGGTGTGTTTAGTGACGGCGAGGCGGCCGGCGAGGGGTGAGAAGTAGTCTAGGGTGCGAGAGAGTGAGGCTTTCAGATGATCAATGAGAGACATGTCTTCTGTTAGTTCTTTTTCGTTTTGAGGCTGGGGTTTGGGGAGGAGGAGACCCTTTTGGATTGGGCCAACTGCAAGGAGCTGGAGGTCCCATGGTGTTAACTCAATCCTCTGAGTTGAGTCGTCACGGCCTTCTGATCTCGCCGGTCGAATTGTACATGTAGAGATGACGCGAACTTCTTCCATCTCTCTGTCTCTCTCTCTCACACACACACAGCAAAGTTCTACGCTTGGAGAAATGATGGCTGCCTGGTTGTGAAGTGAAATAGAACTTACAAATGCATAGAAATCGGATTTGAATATCCAAATTTCTAAAACAAATAGGAGAGACTATCAAAATTTAAATAAGGCACGTATGAGAGAAAGAAAGGGAGAGAGGGATCTAAATGAGAGATGAGAGAGAGAGAGAAGGAAATCTAAATAAAAGATAGAAAATAGATGAAAAGAAAAGATAGTGAAATAATTGGATAGAAGATAGTGTAGGGAGAGAAAATAATTGAAGAAAGAGAGGTAAGAGAGATACTAGGATGGAAGATAATAGCCAGAGAAAGAGGAAGAATAAATAAAGTAATTGAAATAAGGGTATTTTTGCCATTAAATATATAATATAAAAAAGTAAGTATTCTGGACCACCCAACTCATATGATCCAAGCACATGTTCGGCTTAAAAAACACATATTTGTATTTTATTTTATTTTTTTGCTGGAAAACAATAAGTACGAGTCAAGAGAAACTAAAAAGGTGTTTCTCTCATCACTACTTCTCTCATAGTGTTTGAAAGTCGGTGATCAAGAAAATTCCCAGTGTGCTTGAGGCCTAATCCCTATCTTGCTAGCTCGTGTGGCTTCATTTGCATCTCCGAAAGCGTTTGACATGTTTTAGTCAAGATGATTCTCAAAAATTTGCTAATGATCCTGAACTATTGTCCAAATTTGTCATGTCGTCTTTACATGTGTTAGCATGACTACATGGACCTCCATTTGAGAGTCACTTTCAATGGTGACATAATACCAACTTTGTCTTTCTGCCTAAAGAGCTGCATTCCTGCATGCCAAGGCTTCTACTATTAGTGGATTCGTAGTTGATTCCAGAAAGTTATGAGCTCCTATGATTGATCCCTCGTGATCACTTGCTAGTGCTGAAAAAACAGGAAATTTCTGATCCAACTGCAGTGCAAGAGGCAAAAAATGAGATTACCTCCTACAGGAATAAATAATTGATATTTATGGTAAAAGTGAGTTCTGAATTTGATCTCTCAATCTTTCCTTCCTGCAAAACGAAAAAAATGCCCAAGATCGAAATACTTCGGTTGAAGACACTTCGATGTTTAAGTCAGTATTGGAACTGAGTTAATTATAAGAAGACAAGGAGAGTTCAGCGTACCTTTCACCTTGACTCCTTATGCCTTTTATAGAGTTCTACTTAGTTAGGATTTCCATGATTTTTGATTTAAGGTGGCACACCTTCCTTCAAATAGGCGGTTCTGTTCGGGAAATTAATGAGATTTCTCTAGCAATTCCTTTTACCAAACCTAAGATCATGCTCATCCGTTTGACCATAATGCCTGAATTATAGGCATCTTCCCAGTATCAAATTTACTGTTGGAAACAACAAGGTCCACATGATGGCTGAGCTCATTCCCTCCTTCCCAAGCTTCTGAATAGCTCGTTTGCGTTCTGATGTCTAAGTCTGATGATGTCTTTCTCATTGGCCTAGTCGTGTCACCATCACGTGGCATCATTTAATGAGATCACACGTGTCATATGGAGAGCACCACCCTTCACTTGCCCTCAGGAAACGTCTGACAAATGTTTTTTCGTCTCTCAGTCGTTTGATGCCCCCAAACCCATCATTGCGCGAATTTTTGGGACATCTCCCCTAGTTTTGGCGGCTTGTCTTGCATTTAAAAAGTTGCCCATTGAACTTATGTTCATCTCTTTTATAATCGTCTTTCTTTGTTCTTTCCTCCACTTTGCCTTCTTCGAATTTCTTTACCTCTTTTTCCTCTTTTTTCACATTCACTGTCTTCTACAATGGCAATTCGACTAATAATCTATCCTATTCTAAATTTCCTATAGACAGAATGCATTGGAGCATTCCTTCATGTAATGCCCCAAAATTCACCCTGAAAGACATTAACTATCTATACAACATTCAACCATGAGAACATATTAAAGTACCATTAAATAAATAAAATCATTCATAATCCAACATTTGATTAGATAAATCCCCAAAGAAAACATAAGCAAATTCTTAACATAAGTAAACTATCAAATATAAACTCTAGAGACTAAAATTTATTCACAAACTTCCACTGTTGAATCCACATCATTATCCCCCTTAGCATCACAATCTATCGACTCATCTAACTTCGAATTTTCCTCAACACTAAAATCTAAAAAATATTATGATAGGGTGAGCAATAAAGCCCAGTAGGAAAATCTTCTCAAACCTAAACAAAGTTTAGAAATCATAAAAACAGGTAAGTCACAGTTTGTAAAATAATATATATAATTTTGAAGTAAAACAATGATATTTAACGAGATCTCAAGTTTACGGTATAAAACAGTAGAGTTCATAATAGAATAGAATCATTCACAAAAAACATAATTCATAATATAATATCTCATGTATGTAGATAGACTACTGTAAATCTACACATCGAATCTATCTCGTCCACCCACAACACAAATCATCTCAAATCAAATTCCCGCAGGGCCACATCACTTAAAACACTTTAGGAATGACATGTACCGACATATCAATATTAACGTATCCTTTCATAAGAATAGTATACTAGCCCCCAGCCTCGAACCTACTTGAATAAATAGTGGTTACCTCTCGCAAGAAACTAAATCCCCTACAAGTGTTAGGCAACCACCAAACTCATAAAGGTAGGAAAACCTCTAACACTCTACGATATGGATTCGAGTGTAACCCACGTTCATCACACCCATCAATACAAGAGATAAAAATAATATTTTTCATACAATTTAACTAAAATCAAGAATCATTGATCCATAACTTTTTTCGAATGACTAATAAAACATGCAAGAGATCTCATAAAAAAAATATTTGAATTCATGGTAATCAAGAACTATGGTTTTGTAGTCAATGACTTAAAATCTTTTTATGTAAAACATGTATTTGGATGTAAACCATGTGTTTATTCAAGAATTGAAACACATATTTAAAAAAGAATGGAAAAACATTGTAGATTTGTCAAATAAGTGGAGTAGGAATCAAGAATTAGGTTTTAAATCAAGAACTAATAGATCTTGGAAGTAAATCATGTATTTTGTTCAAGAAACGAATCATGGATTCAAAAGAACGTAAAAATATTGTAAATCAATTATTTATATCATAATAATTATGAAAAAAATATATTTATATAACCCTATTCATCAATGGATGAATTTGTGAAAGAACTCCTATCTTGATTTCTGAGATCTTGATCCTAACGTATTTTGTTGCAATTATCACGTGTTAATCTTTTAAGATTCAACCCTTTTTTTCTTCATTTTCTTCTCCTCAAACTTTTCTATGGTTATTAGGTTGAAAAGATAGATAAAGACACTCTAGATCTGTAACACTCCCTCCACATGGCATAATATTGTCCACTTTGGGCCCACTGACCCTCAAGGCTTTGTTCCTCCCAGTATTCCTGAGAAAAGGCCTTATGTCATAAAAGTCAAGGGGCTTACTAATAAGCCTAGTCACTTTCCCCTCCCTAACCAATGTGGGACACCGGATCTCATAATCCACCCCCCCTTAGGGCTGCACGTCCTCGTGCAGCAGCTCGCTAGCTACCTGTATGGTCACTACACGCGAGCACATCAAGGGCCCACACTCGATCCAGGTGAGAGTCGGCTCTGATACCAACTTGTAACACTCCACCCTCCACATGGCAAAATATTGTCTGCTTTGGGCCCTCACGGCTTTGTTCCTCCCAGTATTCTTGGAAAAAGACCTTATGCCATGTAAGGCAAGGGGCTTACTAATAAGTCCAATCACTTTTCTCTCCCTAACCGATGTGGGACACCAGAATCTCACAAGATCGCAGTCATATAGTATTTATAGGCTAAAACAATAGAGAATTCCAGTTTGGGCACGGGTAGTAGTCTGCCTTTGACTTTCATCTCGATTTTGACCTAGTTAGACATTGATTCAAGAATTTTTTGTGAAATATATTTTTGTATCTGTTGAAGTCTAGTTTTTACGGTAAAAATTTTAAGTCAATCGGACATTGGGATAAAAATTTATAGCTAAAATAACTAAGGTTATGTTAAATTCCTTTCTACCCACATCCAATCTAAAATAAGTTTTAACTCTAGAATACTTCTAAACTTCTAATACAACTCATATAACCTCTTTCAACGTTTTTCAACCTTTCAGATTCAATGAAAATTTTACTTTGACCTAAAAATATTTATAAAATTACTTAATCACCCTTCTCAAATTCAAATATATCCAAAACTCGATTTATCCCGAAAGTTAATACGCTTGAAACTCAAACTTCATAATCAATTTTTCAACAATGATTTTAATTTTCTATCATCATTTTATTCACCTTAGGATAAATATTAATATAATATTACCCTACTTTAATACAGGGTCTTACACTTCAAAATACAACTTACGAAAAGTTTAGAATAGCACATGTGAACTCTCACAATTTGATAGCACATGAACTATCAAATTGGACTCTAAACTTCATATGCTATTCTAAGTTGATAACTTAGGTTAGAACACAAAATCGGACATGATGAACTCACAAAAATACTGGTGCCAAGATTGAGTTTGTTCGAATTGGACATTATCTTGGCACACGTTGTTCCAATTTAGCGAGTGATTTCAAGGTGTTGTTTCAATTGTAGCATCTTGTAACTGCAAAATCATGAAAATCAATAGATGATTTACATTAAGTATTTTAGATGAGTCTTTGCATCAATAACCTTTCATTGGCATTGCATTTGCTTACACACGAATCTGCACGCATATATGTTATTTCTTCTCATAAAAAAACTCTTTACATAATTATTTGGCTCCTTACTATATGTTATCAGCTTCAAGTAGAGATAGAGAAAAGGGGGAATAAGAAAATGTTAATTTTAAATTAAAAATAATCATACAAGAAATCATGCCTAAGTTATTTTAGTGACTATTTTTGATTTGATGAAAATGGA